TGCTGACAGCTATATGGGGTGTTAAACTACTTCCAGCATCACTTGATGCTCCCATCGCATCCGAGCATGGCAGCTATTTGGTACATGTACCACAGGAGCTGGGAAAAGCAATTGCAAAAGAGCTTTAGCGCTCTCTGAGCAGGAGCAAGGGCAGGCTGCAGTGGTAGCTGCTGCTGGTGCCTCACACCTTTCCTCCCAAGTATTGGTGGGACCAGCTGGTTTATTGGCAGCCAAATGCCACCTTCTGTCCTTGAGGTGCTTGCAAGAAGCTTCATGGCTTTGTTATATTCTCCCTTGTCTCCTGGATAGGCCTGCCTTGTCATCTTACACTTTATTCACCCTAAAATATCCCCGGGATTTGTTCTCTTGGGGAGCACAGTACAAAATGTACAGGCAAATCTTTTTGTTAAACTGAGTGATGGATTTCCTCATCCGTATTTATTGTGTATTGATCACTATTAGGTGCCTGCAATCTCAAGTGTCTACAATTCTATCCGTGTGTGTTTTTCCATGTTGTTTTTCTCCCACTGTGAGCTGTGGCTTGCCTTAATTTGATTGAATAAACCTGCGATGTTGCTGAACTGTAATGAGATATCATCGACTGGACTATCCAGACTGTACGCTTCAAAATGGCATGTTCCTTTTCCTGGAAGAGAGTGGGGTTTGCTGCAATGCCTTTTGAATAGGGCAGGCTTTTACTGCTGTTGATCAGCTGTCCTTCTCGGAGTCAGAGCATGCATGAGCTGATCTGTTCAGCATTGCAAAGAAATGCTGGGTGCAGTGACTCCTCCAGGAAGAACAGAGCTGCTGCCATGCCCCTAGAGTCAGCGGGCTGTGCATGGTGTGGGACCAAGGGCTGGCTCTTTCTGTTTGCAAGGATGGGTGTGAGGCATTGACCCTGTGTCCACATCGGGACTGGAGACCTGCGTGGTTGCTATTGCTAAATGATAAGAGAGATTTCCAGCTGGTGAGCTCACTAAACATGTCCCTTTGTGCTGCTGGTTGCAAGTACTTGCTGATAAATGCAGGACCTTGTGGTTATTCTACTGATGCCTGTCTGATCCCTGGCTTTAACTGCCTTTACTTGTAGGCTGTTAAGGGTTGGGAGGTGGGGGGGTTTGGGGGAGTTGAGGATATTAATTGTTAAAGATCTGGGAGAAGAAAAAAGGGGGGTGAGGGGGAAAGTAGTTGAGGGTATTGGGTGGGTGAAAAATATCCTGTTAAAATCAACTTTTTTGATGGGTGAAGCAAAGGGCTGGCTGTACATCACAGCTTCCCCTGGCAGTGCATTGTCCAGCTTTGCAGCCAGGCCCACATTTCGGACATTTGTGGTGGTGACTTGTGTGTGTTACTGCAGCACTGAAGTCCCTTCCCTTTGCTTCGTGCAGTTGCTCTAAAGAATCATGGTCCCAAAGAGGTGGAGAGGGATGGAGACTGCGGAAAAGGACCAGCTCTGGGCTCGGCAGTGGTACCGGAGGGCGATCTGCTCCTACAGGTTAGTGCTCCTCGCTGGCTACCTCTCTGGCAGATGCCTTTGAGGGATTTTCCTCTTGTCCCCTTTCCAGCTCCTTTGAATTTTACACAAAGAGCAAGCTGTTGTGTTATTGATTGCAGGCTGATTTGGTGAAGCAGTGATTTTTGTGTAGTGTTGCTCATAGTGCTTCTGACTGAGCAGAAGTTTAAGACCTCTTCAGGTCTCTGGGGCAGAAACTGTGTTGCTTCTCCTCTCCTTTTCCCGTACTTCCTGGAGAAAATTGCCACCTGTAAATCATTTGGGTGTCAGAACCTGCTCCATATTGGTGGAAGCAGTGCTAAACTTCTGACCTCGGAAATTCAGCTCTTCTGCTTCTCTGCCCTTGTGTGTAAAATGGGCCATAGGAGTGACATAGGCACCAAGCAGAGCAAGACGTTTTGAGTGTGGTTTTCAACATGGGCACACTGGTCCTCACTTGGGGATGTTGTCCAAAAACTGGTGAAAACAGAAAAGAAAATGTCATGGAAGTCTTCCTTGGTTTCCAGGCAAGTCTTCCTTGGTTTCTTCCTTGGTTACCAAGTCTTCCTTGGTATCCAGTGATATATGACACCAAGTACATAGGTGCAGATGGGTCATATGCTCAGCCCATATACACAGGGTACGTGAATGTATCCTGGGAGCTCTGCAGGGGGTGTATAGTTGCTCCTTTGGTGATGCTGGAGGCAACGCTGGTGACGCTGCAGCATGGCTGGGCTGAGCCTGCTGCTTCCATGGTTTATTCAGAGATGCTGGGAGATGACCTCCTGTCTCCAAACTGCACATGGTGAATAGGAAGAGGTTAGGCTCCAGCAGCACAAGGTCCTATGAGGACATGGGTCTCCCCTTCCTTCCCCAGCTGGCACCCGAGCATGGGCTGCAGCACTGTCCCCTGCCTGGGGGAAGCTGTCATCCAGTGTGGGGCAAGTACACTGGTCAGCCCCAGCTCCTTTTCAAAAGCTCACTCAACTCTTAGCAGTAGGTATAATTAGTGTTCTGCTTGAGTGCTGGGGAGCCAGGATCTCAGTGTCTAGTGAGACAAAGACTAAAGCCAAGGTGGTTAATAACCAAAAAACTGAGGGACTTCTGCTGTGGATATAACAAAACCGTGCTCAGCAGGGCTTGCCAGAGATTGATGTCCTGCTCATCAATTTGATGCCATCCTTACAGAGGTACCAAGCTGGGTGTTAAAAGCTCTGAGTTTGTTTGGCTCTTCCAGGGGCCTGTCTGTATGATCCTGGGCACAGTAGAGGCTCAGAACCTGCCTCCGTGCCATGAGGAAATGCTCCTATGTGTTTAAAAACTACTTCCACCTGGTCTGTCAACTTCAATGTTCAAATTTCCTTTGTCTCGTCTCTTGGTCCACCCTGATTCTTCCCTTCCCCTCTTTTAATTTTCCAGCCTTACTTTTTTGGCCTGTTCTTTTCCACCAAGACTCTCTCCAGCGGCGATCTCGGCAGAGGAAGGTATCTTAAACTGGGTTTAAGCTTGAAAATCCCTCTAAAGGGGCCAAGCCTTAGCAAGGCTGAGAACTGGGTGGACCACCTCTGCCCAGGTACACCATGATGCAGGTACATGTCGCTGGCTGTAAGGTATTAAATCAGCGTGCTGGTCGGTGCAGTTGGGGAAGCACAAAGCACTATAAGATGTTGCCTGCTGCTGCTATGGCGAAGCAATGCTTCTGAAGCTGCTCAAAGGGTTACAATGCATTTGGCAGTACTAATTAACCTCTGTGGCAGATTCCCACACACTGAGATCAACCCCAGTAAATAGAGAGGGCATTTGTGCCCAGAATAAAGGGAAGGAGAGGGGGGAGAAACACCGACCTGGACAATGAAACAGGAGTTGGCAGCAACAATAGCTGGACTTGGCTGAGATTGCATGCTAAACCCTAATTAATCCTGATGTCTATACATTACAAAGTGGGGGAAGCAGGCCAGGGCTGGCTACTGTGTCTTCCCAGCCTGCAGCCAGGTTAGTGGTACAGGATGGTTTTGGTCTTGGACAGCTATAGGGCTCCTGGGGTCCACACTGCAGGAGGACCCCTGTCTTCTAGAGGGCTCCTGCTTCAAGCTGTCAGGAGTGTCCCTACAGGGACCTGTTGCCCTTAGGGAGGGATGGCCAGATGATGTTGTCATAGCTCTGAAAACTGTTCAGCTTCTGGAGAGTGAAACCAGTTATTTTATTGGGTTTTCATGGCCTTTGCTCTTAGGCAGCACAGTGGGCTTGAAGGTGGTTACTGGAAGTCTATAGGGATCTATTCAGATCTGGGGAAACTGATTCACACGATGTTTACTATTTGGGGTCAGGGGGAGACTCCTGTGTTCCTGCTCCCAGGTGATGACATGGTCTGCAAAGCACAGGGCTCTGTGCCACCAGGGCTTGCCCGCTGTGGTTGGCAAAAGTTGGTGCAGTGCCTGCAGCACTTAGGAGCACTTAAGGGTGCTCCCCTGGATCCTACCAGTGCCTGCATTAGCAATGCTTTCACACGCATCAGCTCCTGCCTGATGCCAGAGAGCAGAGGGACAGCAGCTGCACTCACAAACTGGTAAGGAAGCTCCTCTGCATCTTCTGATCTTCATGGATCTCTAGATGCAAAGGACACTGTCAGCTAGCACCCTGGTCCTTTCTCCCATGTCCTGTCCTGCTAGCCCTCATGCTGCTGGCTCAGAGAAAACACCAACCACCTCCTAAATTTGTTAAGCTCTTAGGAATAAGCCCCTTTGAGGAAGATGGAGGCTCCAATCAACTCAGCCCATTCCTAGCTGGCAAAACAATGCTCCCTTGGATGTTGACTTTGCAGTCCTGGAGCTTGAGGAGAGGATGGAAGGGCCAGTGAACTGTAAAATATGTAAGTTGTGTAGCATTAAAAATACATTGGAAACTTCAGATTGATGGCTGTATTTGCTATTTTCTGTGAGGAGGACTTCGTACTTTGAGCTTGCATGGGCAAAACAGCTTGAGTGTTTATTTTGTGAAAAGGGCATGGCGTTCAGCCTGTTTGGGTGGAGGGTGTGCACAAACGAGCATGTGCTCCAGGATAGAGAGTTTGCATTGTGTAAACCTGTACACCATGCGGAGAGCGATCTCTAGAGGAAGAGGAGTGTGGCTGGGAGTGTCTTGTGGGTAACGTGTGCATCCCAGGCATCGGTGGCTGCAGACACCCCTTTACCCTGCAGGCACCGATGCTTGGTCCTTTTTCTGCCATGTGGTGCTTTAGAAGGATGGTACTGTGCAGGCTGGATGAGTGTCTTGCAGCAGGTTATCACTGGGTGTGTGTTTGGGGTGAATCATTTGTTTGCTGAAAGTAAAAGGTACTCTGAGGTCAACCAGTAATTCTGTGGTTTTCCCCCAAATCCAGGGACCAGACTCAGCCTGTCCTCCCTCCTGCTTTGGAAGAAAATGGCTTTTCAGAAATCAGACTTTTTTGCTATGGTTTCAAAAAGCAAACTCTTATGCTTTGCTTTCACTTTTTCCATTTTCACTGGTTAAGGCTCTTTGCGGCATTGGGTTGGCCACCTTGACCTCAGGGCAAGCAATGGTGGGATGACAGAGCAGACAGTCGAGACAACAGCTCTAGGCTGGTCCCTTGTTCCTTGCCCACGGGCAGCCCTTGTGGCATGCCACAGTCTTTCTTCGGGCCTCTCCTCTGGCACCTGGGGAGGACAGGTGGGACATGAACAAGGCCAGGAGCTGGCCAGGTTTCTCCCAAACCTGCAAGAGTATCCCCATGTACATGGGCCAAGCAGCACCAGGGAAAGCCCAGAGAGCATTGGCAGCACTCAGTGATCTGCGGTGAGTTTGCTCCCCACTGAATGTTCCCCAGCTTTTCCAGCCCCACATTGTCCCAGGCCACACACAGCTGCCAGGACTCTCCTGGGCTGCAGAGAGGATGGGAACCGCACAAGCGGAGCCACCCAGATAGACACAGGTCAACATTAAATGCAGCCAAAATGAAATGCTGTTTTGATTCAAGGTTGTCAGAAAGGCTTGTTTCTGCCAGAATACCAGAATGGACCACTCCCTGATGGTGTCCAGTTTCGTTCTGCAAGCCGTTCTGAGATTTTTATTTGGTCTTTGTGTAGGATGGGTATAAATGTCCAAATCTGAGTCTGAACAACTGTTCTTGGGATGGAAGCAAAGTTTTCCATCGGTTTGGATTAGGGTGCACCTGGGCTGCTGTACGGAGGAGCTATCTTACCTCAGAGAAACCCAACATAAGGTACTGTCTTTTTTCTTGGTAAGCACAGCTCTGCCAGCATTGACCCAATTTTTCTCCATCCACACTTCAATGGAGTTTGCCCAAGTGAGGCAGAGTGGAGGATAATCTGAGAATAAGCTGCAGGCCTTGACCTCTGCTAGGTAGAGCAGACTCATTAGGTCTGTGAAAACCTGTGTTTTGGCTGCATGTGCTTTGACACTGTGGCAAGGTACATGCATAGAGGCAATTGCCAGAATGGAGGTCTCTGCTGCTGTCCCCATCCTGCAGGAAGAACATGAAACCAAGAAGCTGCCTGAACAGTGCATTGGTAGATTTGGTGAGAGCCAGGGCCGTACCCAGTGTTGCAACAGCGAGATGCCATTGGGAAGAGCTTCCTTTCCTTACAGGTTTCCCTGCGCTTTGTCTCCACTCCTATACCTTTCTCTTGGTGGGACAGTGGCTCAGCTGCCTGCTAGCTGTGTCCAGCCAGGACTTGGGTGACCAGTGTCTGAGCACAATGAAACTTGCCATCCAGCTAGAAAAGGGTAATGTGAGAGTGGCATGTACATGCCGATCTCCTCTCTCCCCTAGGCACTCAACGGCTTTGTGCTGGTAGTGACATCGGAAGGACTGATATTTTACTCCTCGCATACGATTCAAGACTATCTGGGATTTCATCAGGTTGGTGGGACTCCTCTGACTCATTGTGGTGGGTTTGCAGAGTGGATTTTAGCTTGGTGGTGGTGAATAGCCGCAAGTTCCCTGCAAGGAGGAAGCTCTGCAAGGGATCACAAGGTCTCGGGGGACTGCACAGGGTTTCTTCTTGGTCTTGTGAATTTGGACCCCATGTTGCCAGATATGGTTGTGGGGAGGTGTCAAAGCAACTTTGCTAGCCCACAGATGCTTTCCATCAGCTATGTTGACAGGCTATGAGGTTCATGGCCTCATTGTGTAATCCCATGGTCAGAAGTCTGTGGTTCTCTGCCCAGTGTGCCTCTGGCCACCTACTCCTCCAGGTGACCCCTCGCAAATTCCATAAGGCTCCAATGCTTTGTGGTTATTTGAGCACCCAGGTAACCTGGAAGGCACTAGGTCAGATTTACAGGGAAGTGGGACTTACCTACAGTCCTTTAGTTACTGTGTTTGGTGTTGCTCCCACACAGCTGGCTTTCCCCACCATCTGGGGTAGATGAGGACTGTCCACCTGGGAAGAGGGAGCAAGTCCCAGAGCATGTGCCTTGTTTTCTCAGTAACAGTGTAGGGCTGGAGTGGCTTTGCTGCAGTTTTGTGCCAAAACCCATGTTTTCATCTCATCCTGTAAGTCAGCACTAGGATTTTGAAGGACACTGTTATGGGGACAAGCTTGTCAGGGGAGCGGTATTGCTGATGCTAGGGGCTCTTTAAGATGGGGCAGTGGGGAGATCTGGCCCAACATGGGCAAAGGGTCCTGAGAGCCAGATGTGCTCTCTGTTCCCACCAGCATCAGCTCTGATGGAAGGTGTCAAACTTCAGCCAGGGACCTAGTTGAGCACCGGGGAAATTGGGTGACATATGGCCAACTGGGGCTGTGACAGGTTGTTTCTGGGTGGGATGTGAAAACTGGTGCCTTGGGGGCAGGCCACAGAGCTCACATGTTGCTTTTTTCTTCTAGACAGATGTCATGCACCAGAGCATCTTTGAGCTGATCCACACTGAAGATCAGC